GCCCAAAATGCTCAAAACGAGGGCTAGAAGTACGGGCGCAGCCTGAAAGCTTTGATGCTGATCGAGCATATGGGGAGCCCTTGAACACGGCCTACTCTAGAAGGGATCAAAGAGTCACCGATTAACTGCATAATTCCAAAAAGAATCCAATATTCACGTCCTGAATGCAGTCCACACCGCAAAAGCACCCCACCACGCTAGTCGGCGCTCTTGATGTACGATACGCAAGAAAACGTCGAACCCACTATTCATAGAAATACGTGATCCCCTCGCAGCATTGTTGATAAGACAAATTTCATTCTCAAAAATCAAAAAAAGATAAATCAAAGATACATGTAATATGTAAAATGAATAGTTTTGTAAATTTATCAATAATTGAATAATTCTAAGTAAGAACCAACCTGAGCATATCCTGCTCCGGTGTGCAATTGTTCGATCTTCGTAAAGTTACTTTGCAGACAATCATTCACCCACATTAGCATTTCATGTCGGGACAAATTTTCCGTCGTCGCCGACGTAGCGTATACATTTACAACTGCCGCCATCCAATAGATACCCTGCTAGATTTAGTTATCAGTCTGAAATAAGTTAGTGATCATTGTAGGGCCACTGAATCTTCAGCGATAAGAAGTACAACGGCAGAAATGACAGTTGTCAAGAGAACCGATGGGAAAAAGGGTCCATGAATAATGGGCAATCATCCACACACTTTAAAACAGGCTATTTTTAAGAACAAACGGCACAGGTCCAAGTCGGTTTTGCACAATTCTAGAATTACAACATTTCAGAACACATCAAACAAACACCTATGGCCTATATTTCTATGCTGCCGTAACGCCACTGGAAAAAAACCCCATTTAAAACAATGACTTCGCGGAAATGAATCAATAATTAGACAAGGCAGGTGCAAAGCACTCACGTCAATATCAAATGTCCAATGAAGAGATTTTTATGCATAGGCAAATCATACGAAACACGGCTGAGCAAAGAAAACGAAAACAGAAAAATCAATAGAACGTAAGCGCCAACACGCTCTTTTGTCTTTACTGCCATGGTTACTTGCAGAACATTCATTTTAAAAACGTATGCAAACAGCTCACAAGAAATGGAACAGGTGCAGGTCTGGGGGTGGAAGGGAGGTTGGTTTTGTAAACTCCTTTCTACATAACGAGCAATTTGTAACATTGTAAAGTCCTGTAAAACTGCGAAGCGGGCTCCAGCTTCACTTTTACAGAATTTTCTTCAACTTTTAAATGTCAGGCGATATATGGTGTTGGTAGTTGCGAACAAACGATTTTTAGCGGGATGGGGAAATCTGTTCAAGCCTAAGGGCCTAAAGGAAGGAAGGAGCTCTGAGTGTGTGGACCAACGCTCTCGCGTGAAAAGTGATTTTCGCAGTACGTGAGAAGTAATTTAGTACCTACGAGTCCTAATCGCTTCATTGGCACCCTCTATCTTCCCTGGCTTTTTTATTATTTCCAAATACCATGTTCATGAGAAAAAAAAATTCGAGAGGAATTCGGCGACGAGAGGGGGGTGGGGGCAGGTGGGGGAACCCTTTGCACTTTCGCCTCCTGCCTCGCTAGCTCCGGTTTACAGGTCTAATTCTGGTAAACTGAGAGCTCTTGTGAAGCTGGAGCAAGCTTGTCGAGGCACCGTGGTAAATCTTATTTCATTGCTTTACTGAAGTTGACGGTGGTCTGTACAAACTTTGGCTGGTATCATTTCGTGGCTTCACAAGGTTTGACAGTTCTCTACATGATGGCTCACACCTCGACAAGAAGTAGCTGCCCCCCTCAGTCGTCGGACTGCGTCCAAATTCGTACCAACTTTCCTTTATATAAACTTACATGACTTCACAAAACGATCCGCCGCGTTGAATTTTCAAATAGTCCCGTAACGGATCCGCGAACTTCCTTATACATTTCAGTCAAGCTTGCAATAGACTGCTTCTCGCGATTGGTCCCTCAGTTTTGAATTTTAAC